TTATTTTCTCGCTGCCCAAGCGAAAGGCTTAGTAACAGCTCCTGACGCGCACCCCGTGACTTAGTACTGATAATCTCAAGCTAAACATATGTACTTGGGTGAAAAGCATCGGAGTTACACAAACGGGTATAACGTGGTCACTTTACGTGACTAAAACATTTACTAAAGTCAGGTGACGAACGTTCGATATCTCCCGACCTAGGTCGGCATCAGTACCTCCTTAACTGATTTTGAGTTTTTTACCGCGTGCGTAATATCGCACGTGCTTGTTGCTCACCTGTGCTGCTTCGTGGAGTCGTAATCAGGTAATGCAAAGTGTTCCGAAGGCATCTGCAGCAACTTGCTTGGTGCTGCGGAATTCCCATTATGGTAGTGCTTGTCCTTATTTATTGTGTCCAACCATGTTCGCTTCTGCGAAATACTGGCCTCCAAAATACTCACTGATGCCAAGCACACCCTCCATTGTGCAATGCCCGAATGTATCTTGACTTCCTCGACCAGCCAAACCTACAAAGCTATTTATGTCAGTTGTTCCTTTTTCCTCACTTCTTCTGGGGGTCAACATTCTGTCAAACAAACTATTATTGCCAGCCTTGGCAACGTACAATTTGGCGAGTTGCCCCCTCCATCTCGTCTTTTGCGAGTGGTTCCGGTCGCTCAAGTTTATCGCCAGACACTCCTTGCTTTGCTTTCAAACCTTGAAATTCAGGGGTCATTGTACAGCCGGACCTTCCTTTGGCAGACAAAGTGAAGCTCAAGACTAGTAACTAAAGCCTTAAAGCCCGCTGTGCCGTTGGGTTTTCGGGTGATAAGTCGGCGGTCAACTGTTACCCAGCCAGAACCCGTCCCGGTGCCACACTGTCGCGGGCCCACTCTACCGATAACCTTCAGGTAGTTCTTAGTAAGATGCGCAGCTTGCGAAACAGGACGTGCGAGATCGGCGCCTTTGTGGACCACTCTCAACCTGACGTCTATGCGTTCACCGAGACGAGGTTGTCATCCGAGGTTAAGGGCGGTGAGGTACGCTTACCAGACGACGCATTACTGCGAGCCGACAGCGTATACGATCCTCATGATGGAGGCGTAGATGTTTATAACAAATCTAAGTAAATTATTTCCAAAATGCACACATTTCACCAAGTGGATGGAGCTACAGAGGCACTTTCGGTTAAAGTGCTTCGCTCCGAGCAGCTAAACCTAGCGTTTGTACATAGGGATCCCGACAGCACTTCGATTGGAAGCATTGACTTTCCTTGCAACCAGTCAAATACTGGGCACGTAATTATGGAAGCTTTTAGCCTCCCGGAGATATAGCTTCCAACCTTTGCATGTCAATCAGCATTGGGTGGGCTGGCCACTGTTCTTCTCGACCGAAAGTTGCTGATACTCTACATTGGTCCGTTGCTCAGCCCACTAGTTTCGTGGAAGGTCGAGTCACGGCCATCCTAGACTTACTTGACGCTAAGTCTCCAGGTTTTATAAGAAAACTTACTTCCGAACTGTCGTTAAGAGCAAACAGTCATTTTTATTTGTCATTCAAGTGTGCTCACTTCTGTGACTACACTGTGGACAATGTTCCTAGTTCAAATGTATGGCGGGCTGTGTTTCCTGCGATTAGAGCTGAAGTCGCGGGTTCGCCCTGCAACATATCTGCTGACGATGACATGCAGACTGATTGGCAACACTACGATTCCTATTAATCTAAGGTGTCTCTCCCTCATATTCCCATTACTGTGAGGAAGGCCAAAATGGTTAAACCACCATGGTTTGATTCAGCTACGCTTCTATTAATGAACCGGCTGACCAAGTGCTGGCGAACTTTTGAACGGCTGCATCAGTGAATTCTTTTTGGCGTTTCGAGAACCACGAAAATGCTTTAAAACAACATCTAGGTGACGCTTGACTGTGCTATGGAAAGGAGTTGGCAGATTCAGCTTTGGCAGATCCAAAGAACTTCTTCGCCTATATCAAGAGGGTGGCTTAACTGAATTCGCGCCTCCCAAGTTTGTTTGGTATCGACGGCGATGCTGCTGAAAAGAATCACGCCAAGGCCTCGTTGCTCGCGGTGCCGCATGTCCTGGTATTTGTTACAGAACTTTGCTTGCCGCCGTTTGAATTGCAGATGAGAGTTCCACCTGGCTCTCCACTGGCGGATATTTCCTTCACAGAGACACAACTGCTCTTGCTATTGGGGAAACTAAATCCTACCACATCGCCTGGGGCAGACGGTATTCATCCAACGTTATTGCATGAACTCGCAACCGAGCTTTGTGGGCTGATCGCGCGCTTGTTTGAGAAGTCCCTTCTCTAGTGATCTATAATTTCTGGCTGAAAGGAAGCGACAGTATGTCCCATTTACTAGAAGGGCGACCCATACCTTCCTGAGAACTACAAACAGGCCAGTTAGACAAGTGAGCCAGTCAAATTACTGGAGAATATGATAATTGTGGTCCAGGAAGTCCAAATGAGGACCTTCGGCTTGCTCAGTCAGCAGGATTTTCTAAAAGAACTTGCCTTACCATTTAGCTGTGTGCTCTGGAATGCTGGGCAGACTCGTTGCATCAGAGAATGCGGTCGATGTGATTTGCAAGGACTTTGCCGAAGCTTTTGACACCGTCCCACATACCCGCCAGTTGTGTCAGTTGCAGTTATACGGTATACCCGGGCAACCGCTACTGTGAATGATGGCATTGCTAGAGGTTAGAGGAATGTACATTCTGGTGGACTCGGGCCTCTCCCCAGGACCTTTGCTACGAAGAGGTGTTCCGCTGGAGTCAGTCCGCGGTCCACTGTTGATCAACTTGTACGGATAAGGATAACATTACCTGCAAGGAACACAGCTGAGGACATACCTGCGAAGCTCCCATGGGCACGGAATCAATAACGAACAAAGAAAAAACCCGCATTTCATAATCCTGACACACTAAAGAACCTAGAAAACTGGGTAATTCAATACAAGTCACCTGAGTCGTCCGACTTCAACAGCTCCAACCACTTGCATTGGACTCCGAAGGCGACTACACAGCCATGGGAAATATATTGGCGTTACGTGACTGCGAACATCCGCGGGGATAATCGGTCAGATACAATCTTGTCAATGTTATATCACCAGCCGACAGTGTTTCAGGACGTGGTGGGTCTTCGTCTGGCAAGCGTTCTCCCTACAAAATACCACAAATGTCTGTTTAACCACATTGCGACGTGGCGGATGTGACTCGTCACTCAATAAAGTCACCGCCCCTAACACATTGGCACGTTGACCGACATCACGTTTACAATCTTTTTGCATATATCTGCTCTCGCACGAACACGCCTACATATCTGATTAGGGACATACCACTATTCTTAAGTATTTTTCACCCGTTTCCTCATATTGCACTCACTGACCGACATTGCTTACGGGACCTCATCGGACTAGTTCCTCATCAACATACCATATAAGTGATCTGAATACTATCTTTACCTCTCGCATTCTGTGTACATAGACTACATACAACCTTTGGGCCCTATGGGCCCACACTAATATCTCCAACTGTACTACTCCCGCTGTTGGTGTTAATTATTCTGCTACCATGTACAATAGTGCAATATGCCGATCATGCCAAAAAGGCGTGTCTCGCTTGGTCGAGAATAAAATATTTATTTATTTTAATGCCTGGCTTGAGGAACGAAAATTTCGTCCTGCATGTTTGCAGATGAGCTTAAGTTATGGGCCGCGATCAGTTACGCGAGTGACCCAGATTTTGCGTAGTGCGCTTGATAGAATCTGGGATTGGTCCACTTCGTGGCAACGGCCCATTAACTTTTCCGAGTGCTCACTTTTGCGCCTTGCATAAAGTGGCCCTTCAACGCACTACTTTTTAGGAGGGTAAGGAGTCGCCACGAACCTCAGAGCAAACTGCCATAATTAACAAAGTAAATGAATATTTTTATTCTCGAATTCATCGAGCCATACCAACTCAGGTGACGTAGGTGTCACCTTTTGATCGAACCTCCAGTCAAGCGCAAACTCTACGAATGCCGCCTCCAAGAGATTCAGTATGTTGTGGAAGCTCCGCAGATCATTTAGAATCCTAACGGGCGTGAGGTGCTATACTGTACACGGCTTTCCTCAGGTTACACTTAGAGCACTGCGCACAAGTCCGCCCCTTGCGCAGTGCAGGAGAAGGTGGAACTGGAGCGGGTGTTGCGGATTGGCACCAAGATGGAACATGGGCTTCGATGTTTGTCATAACCTGAGAGACTGCTCAGTCTTGGTCTTTTGCTTCCGCACTCCCAGCCTCACTGAGTGAAGTACCCCTTACTTATCGCACCTCATCAGGTCAAATTGCTCCGGCTTATTCTCAACATTTTCTTGTGGCTCGATTACTGACTCTTTGTGGTTATCCAAAGAACTTTCACAAGCCTCCCGCCGACATGGTGAGGGCTGATGTCCAGTTATCATGTAGAATAATTACCCCTTGAACTTCCCTGTCTGAGGATGTAGTGTTGGCACTGACGCTTAAATCGCCTGAACACCGACTTGACGCCTTCGGTTTGCAGATAAGACTCTCACCTTTCACGTTAGCCTGAAATACAATTTTCCTTTTCTGCTGTTTGTCCTGCTTTTCACAAATTATTTTTGGTCCATTTTTCTGTTTTTTCTTTCCCTTCATTCTGTCTTCTCTATTTTACGTGACCGGCACAGCGGGACTGCAGGTGCGGGACACGTAGACCTTGATTGGTTGACTGCCGTGCGACGCGCGTCCGATTGTACACTATCAGGAGACAAGTAAAACTTCGAAAATCCACATAAGCTCAACAACGCTTTTATACTGGAAAATCCGTGGGGTTCTTTTATTATTCCTGTTTCACTTGCAAATGAGCTAGAACTCGAATAAATGATATCAACGCTGCCAACTTTGCGAATTGGCGGTACTGCACATACATTTGTCATAGTTTTAATTAATTTTATTTGTGCTTACAGTTTGTTTGTATTTGCTGAAGCTTCATTATTCATGGGTGCAAAAAGCATGTTGTTGGTTTGGCTTGACTTTATAAATTGTGAGTTAAAACAACTGTACTACAATGACGGCGAATAGAATAGGTTACAACGAAAAGGCGAACATTTATAAACACTACAAAGTGCCGAACTCCCTGGTTTGCCTGCCATTTACAAGAAACAGGACGCTTGGTGTTCTTTAGCCTATTTCGTCCTTGGAACCTGACCAATCCTTTCTTAACCTTGATTCGACCTTCTGGTAAGGATGTTGTCCTATATATCCCTGTGGTTCCGTCTTCATCCCACTTGTGTTGAAATCCCATCATGCTTGCTTGCTGTGCGTTGACGCTACATATCAGACTTTTGACACTTTACACGTGTTAAGTAGTTATTGCCTTAGCTTCTCTTCTCCGATGTCCGAATATGCGTGCCACCCTAGTAATAATTGGTTGGATAATTGTGGGTTCAGATATGAAGATGTTAGTTTCTGCTTTTTCTATCTAATTGCTATGTATTGTAGACTGTTTTTGACCTTGAAAGTGAGAGACGTCTGAGTTCTACCCAAAATGCTGCAAAATTCCATTTACCTTACTCGCTCCACGAAGTTTGTTTGACTACTTTTAATTTTTCAAGGCATCGATTAAAGGGTTTCTTCCGACCTTCGCTAAAAGAACTTTTCAGTGTCGAGCATTGCCGACATCTTGGTTGTGGACTTTAGAGTCTCGCCATGGTGTTTATTGTGGCATATTCCATACATCTTCCAATCTCTTTTTTAGTGGCTCCCATGGCAAGTAAAGACTGGTGTTATATGGTTTACAGATGGTGTACATGTATTCGATTACTCATCTAGATACCTCCGTCTTTTGGAGGCAATTCGCTGTCCGGATTCTCACTGGGCTGTGGTCTCTCTTAACCTGAGGTACGTAATCTAACTGGTAAATTTACTTCCATCTCAGTCCGGATGATCGTCATCTTGTGTACAGTGTACTTTCCAATCATGGTGAGTTTTCTTGTTCATTGCATCTGCTGCATCGTTCAATGAGCTCATTTTGACTACGACATTATCATATACTACAACCAAGTTTAAATGCAATAGGACTTAAGCGCGTCTGTTTGTGTACATTTTCTTGACCCATACTACGCGTTCTTTGCCGAACAATATCAAATCTGTCTGGTCACAGAATATGTTCTATAAACAGCTTGAGTTTAGTGATCAAAATGCCAAGGAATTTTGTATGAGGCTCTAGCGACCTGGAGATTCCCCCCGTATGATTGTGTAAACTATACTAAAATACATTAAAATTATAGCTTTTTTATGTAGTAGGAAATTAGACGCTTTGCCGGCTAGAACGTTCCCGTTTGTTTGAAACACAAACACAATATCCGCCGTTGATGGGCTTGACTGGACTGCGAACGACGCTCCGTCAACGCACTCGCCCAACTACATCCTCCCTAGCTAGCTCTTTTCTGATGCCCTATTTTTAGCATTAGCTAACTCTCCTCTCCAATAAACTTTTTCCCTAGCTTACTTTTGTATGTTCTACCCATTGCTTTTGGTTGGCCGTCTAGTCTCCTACCGGAAATATGGCGCACAACCATCGCGCTCTAAGGCCTACCTTATGTTTTCCTCTCGGACCTAGTTACCAAATCTGCCTGCGCTTTAACCATAATCTTGATAAGGACTAAAATTACTGCGCTATCCAACTTCATCACCTTTCTGTTTTATTAACATTTGCACCAACCAACGCGATCTCTGATTCCAATTGTCTTGACTGCGACATTTCTGTTACTTACTAAGTTTGCCATGCGCTACCACTGCAAAATATCTTAAATGAAGTAGTCTAGTTGAATTCAGTATGGACAACGGACTTTTTCTCATTTATGCGTCAGCCATAAAAGTCAGCGAAGGCCGGTAGGACTACGCACTTGGCTTGTAGACCATAGGTCTCCAGTTCGAATCCGCGTAGGCGCGAACGTCCTCCAGTTATTCCCAGCCCACGCGCGACTTGGTGGTAGTGTGGCAGCGAGGTGTCGCTGCAGTGCGTATTTTTGTATGCAGAAGTTGACCCAAACACAACAATTAGTATTACTCACACATTCGCATTACGTCAGTTGTTGGAACACTGACAAATTTATTGGTCACCTACTGTAGCCGTGTTTCTCGACACCAAAGATGCCTTGTATTCTGTGGGTCGATATGCCCATTGGCACTGTCTAATCAAAATAGGCATGCCCGAGAAGTACCTAAACATTATCAGAACGCTACAAGCTCAGTTCGGGCAGCATGAGGGCTTACGGCAAGCTATCGCCACCGTTCAGTATCTTCAGCGGTATGAGAAGAGCTTGCCTGCCGTCAACTTTCTTTCCAACATCGTTTTTGACGAAGTCATGGAAACTGCATTCATTGGACACAACTTGAAAGCCGTAGAGATGCTCCTAGGTGACCGACTTTTTGACTTGGAGTACGCCGACAATATCGCCCTTATCAGTTACAGCAGCAACGATGGATAAACTAGCTCTACCTGTCAATCGTTTCGGGCTGTACTTTGCACTCTCGAACTGCAAAACCCCTCTCCAAACTTGGCAGGTACCCACCCGTGCGCTGACCCTTGGTGGTGACAAGTTAGAAGTCATCCATAAGTTCGAGTATCTGGGCAGTTATATTAGCGTCTGTGGGGTTGATGATGCGATCATCATCATCATACACGTTAGCTAGAGGTGGGGAACACCTCAGCTACTGTGCCGCAATACATAGAAAAAAGGAGAAAAAATATGCAACTGGTGCAAGCTGGCTGAGCTACCGGTAACGGATGCGCATCGTTTCGGTAAGCTACCAGCCGGCTGCTGTGCACCCAAAAAAAATTATTATGCAAAATTATATAAGGCTAAATAATGAGATCGTGCTTGGAGAGGGAGGCTAAGAGGGATGGGGTGGGACAAAGAAACTCAGCACGAATGCCACTGAGGTCGGCTCCTAGCCATATCAGCAAGTGTGTCCAATCAAACGTGTTCATCGTCTTTCGGATCCCAACCAGGGAGCCGAGACGCTCCAACCGAGGCCAGCTCAGAAGTGAGGGCCTTCATTCCTCTGGACCAAGTCATCGCTTGGCCACCCCTCCTCTTCTTTCATCCACACCCCCAGTGCGCAAACAACACACGTCGCGGAAGTCGGTGGGCTGGCATGCGTAACACGTGGCCGAGCAATCGGAGCCTGGTGCGGGAAATAACGGTGCTGAGCGGTTCATTTCCTTTTCCTGTGCCATAAACAATGCGTCGAACACGCTCGTTGCTCACGCGGTGTTCCCACCAAATGTGAGCTAAATTACGAAGGCACCGGTGGTCGAACGTAACTAGCCTCTTCAGGTCCGCTGCTTTAAGCGGCCAGGTTTCACAACCGTACAGTAGGGTCGAACGTTCCGCTGCATTGTACACTCTACCCTTCAGGGTGAGAGTGATGTCGCGCCGGCGCCATAAGTGGCGAAGGTTAGCAAAAGCGCCCCGAGCTTTTGCTATACGATTCGTGATTTCATCATCAATCCCACGGGCGCTGATACAACTTCCAAGGTAGTTGAATTTTTGAACGACTTCTAGCTGATCCCCACCAAGGGTCAGCGTGGGAGGCGGTCCAGACAAATCTTGGAGAAACGCTTTGCACTTCGAGGGTGCGAAGCAAATCCCGAAGTGACGGACAGCTAGTGCTAATCTGTCCAGTGCCGCTTGGCACGTTTGTGAGCTGTCACAGATCAGGGCAATATCATCAGCATACTCTAAGTCAAGAAGTCGTTCTCCCGGGTGTAGCTCCACACCTTCTAAGTCGTGTCCTGTGAACGCGATTTCCATGACTTCGTCAACAGCGAAGTTGAAGAGGAAGGGTGACAGCGGGCATCCTTGTCTCACGCCGCTGGAGATATTAAAGGGCGACGACAACTTGCCGTAAGCCCTCACTCTGCCCGAGCTACGCGCATATAATGCTCGGATAATATTTGCATATTTCTCAGGTACACCTTTCCTGAGTAGACAGTCTCAAAGTGCATGTCTATTCACCGAATCGAATGCACCTTTGATATCGAGGAACACGACAAGAGTGGGCCGCCAATATATGTGACGGTGCTCCAACAACTGACGCAAGGTGAAGATGTGGTCAATGCAGCTACGACCTCGACGAAATCCAGCTTGCTCTTCACGAATCTGGCTTTCACGAGTGCCAATCAGTCTGTGAAGGATGACAGAGGCAAGCAATTTGGAGGCGATGGAGATCAGACTGATTCCTCCATGGCTGCCGCATTCCAATCGTGAGCCTCCTTTGAAAATTGGGACTATGATGGAGCGGCTCCAATCAGTTGGGACAGTTTCCTGCTCCCACAGTCTCACTAGTAACTCGTGTAAATCATCCACAAGAGCAGGTCTCCCGAATTTGAAGAGGGCTGGAGGTAGGTCATCAGGTCCCGCGACTTTATTTAACTTCAACAGTTTGATCTCATGTTCGACTTCTGAGCGAGAGGGTGGATCCAAAGGGACAGCCCACGGAGCAGGGCGATCACTGGTCGGCGAGAAATCTAACGATTCCGACCGATTAAATTTCCTTTCAAAGTGTTCAGCCCAGCGTTCCAGGCGTTTTGATAAGTTGTGGATAGGCTGTCCACTCTTGTCACGTATAGTTTCACTAACACCAGGTCTCTTGCTGCCCGTTTCCCGTATAAGACGGAATAACTCACGATGGTTACCAAGGGCAGCGGCCATTTCCATTTCTGTTGCACGACGAGACCACCAGGATTCGCGGTCTCTCTTCAGGCTAGTACGGAGTTTCGCCCGGAGCACTTTGCGAGTGATGATGCGATCATCAACGGTATAGCAAAATCTAGGGACGCTTTATTCTATCCCCGCCACCCATGGCGCCGGCGCTCTGAAGAGCTGAGTTTGCAAGGGCCCGGCGATCAACTCTCCTGTAAGGATGCGAAACCTGGCCCATCCGTTCCGCAGATGTAAAGCAGTTCCTTACGTTCTCTCATCACTGCTTTTGCAACATAGCTCACAAAAGTTGCGGAAACAGCGTGAGCAATTAACGTGCTCGGCGTCTCGTATTACTTGCAGGAACAGCGAGTGAGCCGTTCAGCACCATTATATCACGTACCAGGATCTGATAGTTGAGTCAAATGTTGCGCATGCCAGCACACCGACTCACGCTTTGTGCGTTGTTTTCGAGACCGGGGTGTGAAAGAGAATGAAGACGTACGATGAATTGGTCAAGAGGAAGGAAAACCTTCACTTCTACTTTAACCTCGGTTCATCCTCGTCACCAACAACAGCAGTACGTCAACCATTTGAACTGACGCATCGCTGCCATACAAACATGATGACCTATGAAATAAAGAATAATAAGCGGGAGAGATGGGGGACTTCTCTGAAAACCTTAATACCCTAAGCAGACATTCAGGATCAAGGTGCCTACACCTTGTGTAGACAACATACCGTCACAAGCAGCTGGCTATCGTGCAAAGATAAGGCGGCATCGGCGAGACAACTTCCTTGCGGCTTTCACTGCCCCGCGTCCTAATCAGCTCTTATCCCGCAGATAACTCAGCACCAAACATACTTTAAACAGGCAGTCCGATTAGGAGACGGCAGCAGACGCGCCACTGTTGTCGGTTGCGAGCCATGTCCTGCAAAGTCTCGAGCCAAACACAAGGCCACTCACGTGGACTCCAGCGCGGAAGGCGAGACGGACCAACGGCACCCACTTTGGTCGTCAGTGACTTCATTTCCCGCTGCCAACTCAACTTCTGTCCACCTCGAGCCTTGCGCCACCCTACACCTGGCAGACTAAGCAAGGCCCTACTAGGTAGGCGGTTACCAGGCATACGTAGTACGTGCCCGAGCCAACGCAACTTATTCAGTGCTATCTGTTGTTCTAGGGAGCTAGCATGATTATCACTACTTAGTACTCGTCTGCACACATAATCGTTGCGGACACGCTGGTGCCATCCGACACCAGCAATGCTT